CTCATACCCTCACCCCCCCACCCCCGGTGTCTGTGTCCATTGGTTAGGCTTATATGCATGCATACAAGTCCTTTGGATGATCTCTTTAACTTCATCTTTTTCAGAACTTGAGGGATGCCCTGGACAACATGTACGATGCTCGCATACCTCAGATCTGGAAGAGGGTGTCCTGGGACTCGTCCACCCTGGGCTTCTGGTTCACCGAACTTCTGGAGAGAAACTCCCAGTTTTCTATCTGGATATTTGAAGGGAGGCCCAATGTGTTCTGGATGACTGGCTTCTTCAATCCCCAAGGTACGTGCTCCTAGGACAGTGGGCAGACTGGAAGGTGTGCATGTGTGCATAGCAGTGCGGTGTGGTACATGGGTCTCACATAAAACAGCACAGAGGGACAGCCTGCGGGGTGCTTGACACGTGCTTTCAAAGCTTGGAGACCACAGACGATCTTCTGTATTGGTTTTGCAAATTCAACCTTTGTTTTTCTTCTCGTCCACTTCAGCAAGCCGTCAGTCTTTGGTCAGAACATGTGAAATAGTAAAAAGGTTTCACGCAAACCTTAGTTTTTAAATGTTTATAAAAATGACAAAAATGAAGCACCAAAATATGCAGAAACTGTTGCCAAAGTACAGGAAATTAGACTGATTTCAACAGTGACCATGTGGCAAAAGTTTTATTCCCTGAACTCGAGTCTGCCACCCCCCTTCTTTTTTTTGTGTGTGTGGTTCTTTTTTCCTTGAAAAGTGCTTTGCATTTATTCCTTCATCCTGGGAATGTTTACTGTGTAAATTACTGACCGATGTCATAGACTTCATAAAGTTCAGAAATACAACTTTTTCTCTCTGCAACATGGATAGTGTTACTTCAAGTAATTCTTGACCAAACTGAAGAGATAGTGGGCTCCTTACGGTTCCACACCTTGTAGCTCCCCTGGCGGTGCAATTTAAGAAGCGTCAAGGGGGCGTGGGGGGGGGGGGAAGGAGACATATGTAATAAAATAAAAAAAAGATTGTTATAATAGTAAATACAAAATGTATAAAGATAATTTCAACTAGAAAAAAAAATAAAAAGATAGTCATTAAAAAAAAGAAAAGAAAAGAAGCGTGCACACTTAGAGAGCTGGGATGCGTTGTTACTCCTCGCAGCTGTGTGGCTGAATCTCAAAAAATAATGGTAAGTGAGGAAAGTCAAACAGGACTCATTGTAATTGTACACATTGTGCCGTATGTGTAATGAATGCACGTACACTGTTCAATTCCATTTGTACAGAGCAAACAGGCAAAACAGATCCGTGGTGTTAAAATGAGGCTGGTGGTTACCCTCGGGGGCAGGCGGGGATTGCGAAGGTCACAAGAGGGCCTCTGGGGTCGGGAATGGCCCGTTTCTTGATCTGGACATGGCATTTCCTGGTGGAAATGCATGGAGCTGTACACTTCTCTTTGCATGAGTAATACCTCAATAAACAGTATCCCTTAAAAGCACACATTTAATTATCCTCGGGGTACATGCACTCATTCACTCCCTGCATTTTCAAATGCCCTAATAGTTTCTAAATTTAAAACACTAACACACTGACCTTGGTGGCCTCTATGCGCTTACCAAGTGGCGCATGTCGGATTTGAACAGGACAGCCCCCACTTTCACTTAATCCTTTTTTTCTCCCAGAATTTCTGTTGAATTTGGGGAGGAAAGTTTTTACTGTGATTCTCAGATTCCGCGTGTCTACTTGTGAGTCTCTTTCCTCCTTTCCAACTAATTCGCAGTTTCAGTAAGTTGTCACCAGGTAATTCCTGGCTTTGGAGCCTGAAGAAATAGCATTTAACTTAATGAGGCTGTTTAACCACCTTCTGTTTGCCAGCCCTCTGCTGGGAGCTTTCCATAGAAAGAAGTCTGAGGCCGGATTCCTGCCCCAAAGGGGCCCGTGATATGGTTGGAGAGACAGACGCTCCAGCAACTTTACTGCAATGAGAACTCAGTGCCACGCGGGGACAGAGGACAGAGAGGGCAGGGCTTGGGGAGAGCTTCCCCTGGAGGTGGGGAGTAGGGTGTGCAGAGGCAGGGATGCCGGCAGCAGGGGGGCTCCCAGAGGGCATGCAGGAGGCAGCCAATCAATGATTCTCTCTCATCATTGATGTTTCTATCTCTTTATCCCTCTCCCTTCCTCTCTGACGTCAATTTTTTTAAAAGTGACTTCAGCCTGGCCAGTGTGGCTCCATGGTTGAGCGTTGACCAATGAACTAGGAGGTCATGGTTCGATTCCTGGTCAGGGCACATGCCCTGATTGCAGGGGGCAGCCGATCAATGATTCTCTCTGATCATTGATGTTTCTGTCTCTCTCTCCCTCTCCCTTCCTCTCTAAAAGCAATAAAAACATTTTTTTAAAATGTGACTTAAAATAGCAAGATATAAATACGAATTTATCTTCTCTTGGAACTTTCTGCGAGTGTTACAAGCCAGCTCACTTAAATACAAATGCAGGTATCCACCTCAGGGTTCTTTTTACCTGTCTTTACTTGTTAATAATCCAACCCTTTCTGTCTTCTTTATTTCTGGTTTCAAGCTAAAGTTTGATCCCTCCTCCCAGGGTGTTCCACATGTTGGAAAGCCCGGGACTTGTTCCAGCTCCCTGCCCGGCGCACACAAGCGCACAGACGCGCACTCGCCTTATCAGTGATTGCTTTCCTTTGCAGCTTAGAGGGAGCCGACTTTCCCGCATACCAATCGCTCCTCTGCTTCCTTTCCTGCCCCTTATCTCAGGTCCACATCACCTGGCCAAATCCGGAAAGCAGGGAGCTCACAGCCACACTCGGTGCGAGCTCACAGGGAGGGTGCTCGCAGATCAGCCCTTCAGACTCGGGGGCCTCTCTGCCGCTGTTTGACGTCAGTAATTGATTTCTCAACTTGAAAATATCTCCTGGATTCATAGCCTCGAACCCTGTAGTGAAATGTTTCAGTTCAAAACATTTAAGTAAATATTTTAAATTAAAAAAAGCACATGCTTAAGTAAAACACAATGCAATTTACCAAAAGGCCATAGTTGCATCAGAAATATGTATTGTCAAAGCCGCTCAGACTGTAACGTGCTTGAAGTGCTCTGTGGCTGCATGCCCGTTTTTGTGGTCTTACAGTGTCATGGCATCTGACAGGTCTGGTGTGTTTCCCATCATGCCCCTGCTCATCGCCCCACAGACCTCCATCCTCTGAGGGCCACGCAGCTGCAAGGACGGGTGTCGGCCCGGCTGGTGGCTGAGCTCACGCTGTTGGCGGTGCTGCTCCGGGGCACTGTGGTGGCCTGGTGTTTGTCAGTCACGTTTGAAGAGTCTGACTCAGCGACCAGGGAGCTAATCTGGTATTTTCAGCCCCTTCACTCTCATTTCTGTATCGATTGACGAGCTCAACATGTGGTAGTTAGATCTGATTGTTGAAATGGTCAAGCCCTCTGCACCCAGGATCCTATCACATCAGTTCAGTGGCGCGGTTTTGGGCAATGTGTGGGCGTGCCTCCCAAGAGCTTCCTCGGGTGTGGACTTTCAGAGCATTGTGTTCAGGTGATTTAGACTCTGCTGTGTGTGTGTGTGTGATATGTGGGGGTGTGCTTAAAATTTTAGACTATGAGTTGCAAAGTCTGACTTCAAGCCCGGTGCTGACTGCCTTTTGAAGCCTCCTCGAGAGCAGCCGTGCTGGGCCAGCTGCTGGGACTGTGACACCCCCCCCCCCCCCCCCCCCCCCCCT